TTAGTTAATTTAATTGAAGAATACAATAGGAATGTTAGATAGCCCATAACCCTAGATCGTTTTCATTACATTGATATCATAAAAATCTGCTCTTTCTCTCTGTTAAAAGTTCATTATTTGTTTTTATTTATTTAATTAGTTTAGAATCAAATACTTCTAGATTTAATTCTTGTTTAGAAAATTAGGATAGTCTAATTTAGTTAATAGTTAATCACAAGTCCCTGTGGGTACGATATCTGGACTTACAATCCTATATTACTTGTCGACCACGTATCCTGCGTGTGCGTTTGGGAGCAACAAGTTTTTGGCGCCGTTGCCGGGGACTTAGAAATTAACTATTCTACTAGATTGGATTTTTACTTCTTTCCTATTCAAGTTTTTATTTTTTTTATTTTTTAACTTAATTTATATTTTATTATCTTTGTTGATATGGCATCTTGGAATGATAATTGGTCGAATATTTATTATTCTTATTATGGTGATCCTTGTCCATATTGTGGAGGACCACACTTGTGGCAAAATTGTGAATCTCAATCTTATGGGTGGAATATTTGTAATATGTGTGGTGGTCAAGGTGGCCATTGGGATGGTTGTCCTAATTCTTATTATCCTTCTCAGAGCTCTTATTAGTATGTTTCTAATAATGTTTATGAGTTTGATAGGAGCAATGAAGTACAGGATATGGAACGTGATGCATATTTTAGGGATATTCTGAGGCAAGTAGTCGAGCTACAAGATGAAAATCGAAATGCTGCACAAAGAATTAGTGCAGCAATCATGAGAATGAAGGCCGAGGCGGAGGAAGTGGCTGAAGATAACGAGCTCCCACCAGAAAATAATTTTGAAGAAGCAGATATAGTGAGCCAATCTTGGCTGAAGGAACAAGCTCAACTTATAAAATCTCATGAGTTTCTCCGTGATGGTCTTTCAAATATGACAGAACAACTAATAGAAGCAAGAATTGAGCTCAGGCAAGAGATAGACCAATTTGGCTTAGATATCCATGACTTGCATGATCAATTGAATAAAAAGGTTGAGGCGTCTGATGCCCCACAACTAATTTTTGTGGATACTGGCCAGCTTGTGGAGCGGAAAGAGGAACTTCAAATATTCGACCAAAATATTATTAATGATGCCAAGGTTGACGAAGAGTGCGAAATTGAGGATGTCAAAAATAATACAATTTTGGAGTTAGAGCGTATTGGACCTCATTCTAAACATTTTTCAACATTGTGCTTGGTTGGTGACATGGGAATTGATCCATTCGAGCATATAGAGGAGTCAATGGATGAGGAACAAAGTGTTTATATTCTGAAATTTGCGATGCCAAGGAGACAAAACGACATTCCTCACTTAAGGGCCAAGAAGTGCAAGATGCGTTATCTATTGCTTGGTTCCTTTATTTTCACACCACCGCCTCATGAACGTGACAGAAAAATTGATGCAAAATTGGGGGCGCAATTTATATCCTCAAAGTGGAAGAAAAAGTGGTGAAAGTGATGGCGTCGTGCCGCGACGTTAAATCAAGCGCTTGTTGGGAGGCAACCCAAGTCCATTTTTTTTCTTTTGTTTTTTGTTTACTTTTTTTTTTATATTTTATTGTGTTACATTTTTTTATTGTATTATTTTTTTGTAGTATTATTTTTGTATTTTGTAGGAGTAAGAGCATGGAGTCAAAGCCAATAGGCGAGTGCAAAAGCGAGCATGTGTTTGAAACTGAGTGTGGGGTGACCGCACAAAGGATCGTACCTGGGAGAAGTCTGTGTATCCCGTGAGCTGCTAATGCTTCGGCCTTTGGCCTACCAGGGAGTCTCTTTTACCCTCTTGTTATTTTTAGTGTGCATTGAGTACATTGCACAATTTTAAGTGTGGGTTGAGGAGATTGTCTGGGTAATTTTCTGTGCTATGTTAGCTTAGTTATAGTACTCGTTCTTAGTGTAGTAATTTTTGTTTACAAAAAAAAAATTCGAAAAATTTGGACTTTTCCTGACGATGGATTTTGTGGACAGCTTTCTTGAGGGATAAAAGTCTAAAAAAAAAATACAAAAACATGTCTTTTAGCTTTCTTTAGGTAGTAATAATCCCCTGTGGTTTTTCTTTGTGCCTCGGTTCTTTTCCATGGGATGTAGTTTGAACCGGGTAGTAGTATTTTTTTATTTCTTAGAGTAGATTAGAACTTAGGGAATAAATGGAGGAAGAATGATGAACCTAGGCGCCCTTGACTTATTTGATAGTAACATATTTAAGTTTTGGCATGTGTAGTATCTTCCCTATGATTTGAAATTATTTATGATGCCTTGCTTAGTTGGATAGCATGTCTTGTGATGCCTATGTCTCGTTTTCTTGACTTATGTTCACTTTGTGCTTCATGCTTAATATCTCGTGACTCCGTGAATACTTGTATTTGTTTGAGAGTCGGAATGAGACCGTTCTTAGTGAGTCATGTGCCATGTGTGGTGAGGTTTTTGTATAGTCTATGTATTGTACTTGTGTCTAGAACTTACCCGGTATGTGAGTTGAAGCGAAATTATAGGTGATGCTCGATTTGGAAAATGATTTTAGGCTTTCTTTGACCTTTTTGAGCTTGATTGCTTATCATAAATAAAATTTGTCCCTAGCTAACCCTTTTGAGCCTTTAGCCTTTTGTTTGGCACCCGCATTACAAGCCTATACCATTTTGTTCTTAATTGACATTGTTTTGATCCTTTTACCTCTTAGAGAGGAGCGCTAAAAGAAGTAAGAAGGAACTAAGTGTGGGGTGGCTTTTGAGTGAAACCAATAAAAGGAAGAAAGGTGCACTTGTTTTGTAAAATAATACACCACTAGCAGAAATTAAAAAAAAATAGAGATGAATACATTGTTGTCTTGTTCCTGCTAGTGGGTATGAATTAATGTAGTGTTTAAAGAAGAAGGGAGCATTTGGGGGTGATATTGTTTGTGAAATTGAAGTGAATTGAAGAATTTGCGCTTAAAGTTGATTATGTGGTGTGTTAAAGTGCTTAGGAGGGTTAGCCACTATTCCTAAATATATCCTATCTGTCTCTTAGCCTACATTACAACCATGAAAAAGTCCTAATTGATTTTAGATCGAGCGAGCTTACATTAGTAGAGATTTACATTATGGGCAAGCCTATGGTACCAAGTGCATGCATGTGACTTCTTTTGTGAGAGAGAGAGAGTACTTTGATATATATATATATATGAGTCTTTAAACTATATTTGATCATGAGATTTGATTGTGTGGGTTCAATGTATTCTCTTGTTCTTGTTGTGAGGGCACATGGCTTCATGAGAGATAGGTAACGTTATTAGACTTTTCTACGACGTTGGATATTCAAGCCATGAGTGCATTGTGACATTGAAAATAATTTTTAAAAATAACATAAGTAAAGGGAAGTGTATGATGATTGCATATGCTAGAGTTTAATTGTTGCTATCAACCATGGTCATTGGTGTAGTGTGCTCCAAATGTGTGCTTCGAATATGTTAAGTGCTCATAGATAGAGTAAATTTTTGGTTGACTCGAGGACGAGCAACGTTTAAGTGTGGGGTGTTGATGATAAGCTATAATTACGTATTTTAGCCGATTATTACACTCTAATTTACTGCACTTTAATTGAGTTTGAGCTTTAATCGCTAGTATTTTGCACTAATGGTGTGTTTTATGCTTTGTAGGAGTGATTCCGAGCTATATAGATGTTATGGAATGAATTCAAATGATTTGGAGATTTAAAGTTTGAGTAAAAGTTCAAGGAATTAAGCCGGGATCGTGTTTGGGGGTCAACGGATGATAGTTAGAGCAAACAAAGACTTCAGTAGGCAGATTGCGCACTGTCTAGTAAAATAGATATAACTTTTTTCTCAAAACTCCAATTTGGCTCCACAATATATGGTTGAAAAGCTAACTCAAAGGGATACAACTTTCATATTTTACGTTTTTCCAAATTCTGAACGGAACAGGGTCAAAAATGTGCGAACGCGCGAAGTTTGCGCGAAGTCGCGCGTGTTAGGGGGCTGAGGCAGAATGGTGCGCGAAGGACGCGCGAGGTCACCCGGGAAAAGTGTCCTTTTTCACATTGGAGAAGGTATAATTGTTTGGGCCCAACCCTACTTGGTATATATACATGAGAGAACGTTTTTTAGAGCAATTTTTGACCAAGGAAGAGCACAGAGCCGCCGTGGAGGCCGCGTTTCATCTTTTCTTCCACCAACTTAGTAATTTTTATGTTTCTTTGTATGATTTGTTGTTTTGCTACCATGTCTTGTGGAGCTAAACTTCACGTTCTAGGGTTGTGGTTCCTTCATGACTATTGTTATTCGGATATTGATTTTGATTTCTTAGTTTATCATATTGGTATATTTATTCAATCCTGCACTTAATTATTTGATTGCTTGATTACCAATTGAATATTATCTACGAATCTAGAGTTGAACTCGAAAGTGGGAATTCTAGATTGCATATAGGATTGAGTAGAGCAAGTTCTTGAACCTGGGCATCGGAAAACGAATCCGCGGTTAGGATAGACATATACCTAATTGCCTTGCTTGGTTGATTTACAGGAATTATAAATGCGTTCTTATTGATTCTAACTCCATAGACATATAGGCATTAGGTTAGCTTGAATAGGCAAGTAAGAACTCGACAAATTCTTATGAGCAATATTAACCCTGTCAACCAATAAACTAGATAAATTAGTTAGTTAATTCAATTGAAGAATACAATATGAATGTTAGATAGCCCATAACCCTAGATCGTTTTCATTATATTGATATCATAAAAATGTGCTCTTTCTCTCTATTAAAAGTTCATTATTTGTTTTTATTTATTTAATTAGTTTAGAATCAAATACTTTTAGGTTTAACTCTTGTATAGATAATTAGGATAGTCTAATTTAGTTAATAGTTAATCACAAGTCCTCGTGGGATCGACATCCGACTTTTAGTCACTTTATTACTTGACGACCGCGTATACTTGCGTGTGCGTTTGGCCGCAACACCTATGCAAACAAAAATTGGCAGTGACTGCATTTGTTGTTGGGGCATGGAATCTTGTATATGCTAAAACAGCTTGCTGGCTATGACGAGGTATCGCTGATTAATTTTGAGGACTACAACGATTTTTTCCAAGTTGCACCAGTGTCAACAAGTTTGGTATAGGCATTCTTGAAATCTTCAAAAAATAAACTCTGATCCTCAGCGTACTTTGAGATCCATCTGTTCAAGAAGCACACAAGACATTTCATTAGCAGACAAAAGGTCAATCCAGAGAACAACGGGTCTTTAACTGGTGAACTGATACTAGATTAGTGAATTGAAAATTCTGCCACTTCTCTAGCAGAGACGTAGGCTTAACATCATTAGCTTTTGTCAGGATTAACTGGGAACAGCTGTAGTTTCAAACCATAATAAAAGGAACCTCCATAACATAAGGTCAGATAAAACATTACCTTACACATTCATCATCTTCAACAAGTGCCCTATCAGAAGGAAGGCCAACCATACTAGTCATGCCAGCTGTATAGATGAAAGAGATTTAAACTACTATACGGTTGAAGATACTAAAAAAGGAAATTATGTTCTACGATTCTCATTTTCGTATGAATAAATAGGGGATCTTTTATTATCAGAAAGAGTGTCATCATTCCTCATAAATAGTGAAGCATAAGCAGTTTGCAGCTTAGCTTAACCTTAAGCCTAGTAGTGCTTAGCAATTTTCCGTATAACAATCATTTGAACTCTAGACATGTGGTAACATGGATTTCCATTCAGAAAGATAAGACAAGCATTGCTTCAAAGATTCTGATGAATCAGTGGGCTTAACATTTATTTCTTATATCAAATGTAAGTATGCATCTAAATGCCATTCATCACCTGAGGATAACCATGGCTTTTCCATGAGTATCTTGAAGTATGCATTATCAAAGACAACTGGATTCCCAAACCCTTTACTTCCTAGAGTATGCGCGCCAGACAAGGCAACAAGTTCCTGAGTTCTGCCAACAAAATGCACAAGCCATCAGGCGGGATATCTTAACAGTGATAATCAAGAAACTTTTTTCGAACAACAGGTGAGCGACGAGTCTGTACTGCATCATTTTAGAGTTAGAGCCTGGACTGCTCAGACCTCTGGCAATTGGCTAGCATGATTATCAAAAACGAAATATTTGAATGGTGCTCTCTACACATACCAACATGAGAAATGTCTTTTGGGTTCTGAACTGTCAGCCGATGACATTCTCAACCCAAAGTACAGAACTGATGCAGCGTATAGAGAAGGCAAAATATCACATGAACTGCTGTATTTTGTGCAGCTTAGCTGAAATTCCTTAACCTCGAGGCAGGAGGAGAATATGGGCAATTAAATTTACTTTTTTGGCCACGAATCATGCAATCAGTCACAAAATATCATACTCAGATTGACACCATTATGGCATATGAATACAAAGTGCCTCGTAAAGAAAGCATATATGTGAAAAACATTTGCTATTGAATATTTTGAATATAATTAAAATAAATCTCCTCTTCTTCCTCTAAAACCATCATCTCAGATGAGTTTCTTAACGTGGCCTTGGATAACACCAACAGATCTAAGGTTCAAAATGAATACCCTAAAGACTGGTTACGTCATATGCTCCTTATGCATAACTTTAAAGAAATGGTGTATGTGATGGAGGCTAAGAATTCGCTATGACTTAGAAAAACTATGCATGTCATGGAGGCTAAGAATTTGCTGTGGCCTATATACTGTATTCGTATTGGTATAGGAAAATGTGACTTTGTGTATACAGTTGGTGCATCAAATGCTATCACAGCGTACATACATTTGAATTGTCTAATAAAGCCAAGTTCTTGAAATTGTAGATTTTATTATTGTTAAGCATCACATAAGTGGACAGGGGGCTAAACTATGAGTCTCATACCCATGCATAAGAAATTCAGAAGGATAAGGGAGCGATAATAAGCAAGATCCGAGATCAGAAACGATAATAAAGAAGATAAAAAATCAGCTTTTGAAAATTCTGAGTATACGATGTCGCTGTGTGAGATTATAACACTGGGGAAAGAGAAACAAGATGCATATGAGACGTATGAAATACAGAAGTACTTCACATGCCTCACAAAATAGAGCAGAACTAATGAGAGGTCGACAGAACTAACATTACTCCACCATGTGTACTACCAAATTTCTTATTTATCCACATAAGCTACAGTGACAACATATGTTATTTATCACCAAATTTGTCTATACTGCATTGGATATTTGTTAAAAGGGTTTAGCATTACAAACTAATTATGGAATGGATAATATATCACATACTGATGCTATAAAGCCAGTTCGTCAGCAATGTGTGTAACCTGAAAGCAACAGTTTTATGCAAATTACCCAACATGTGTGAAAATTAAACACAGAATGTTGCAAGTGAAGAAAACCATAGAAATGCCAAGAAAGATGCAAAAGTCTGTATGAATTGCAAGTCTCATTACTTCATCTGAAGAAGCTATTCAAAGGGGGAAAACCCCTAAAGTGCTTTGTTATCCACTAAAGCAAGGCAGAAGAAATATGATAAATACAAGCAAGATTATCTTATTTCTCATTAACAGCAACTGCAAAAAGTACACTCACTCAAATTATGTGAATGGCACAAAGCTATATGTCAAAGCTAATACAATGGTGTATAACATGGAGCACAAGGAAGCAGAAGATTAAAATACAATCAAAATAAAAGGCAGATTCGAGTACGGTCATTAGACTCACGAGAAGCCTTTTCTTTCAAAACATTGCTTCAAGCTAGTGGCATCTAGTGATTCTTCAGGAAGTTTTCCTTCAGGATCAGGCACCCTACAAAATCAAAGTCAGTGATGAGAATGTAGATATGGCAGAAAAATTACGTCAATCACCTGAATATGGTCGCTACATGCATAAGGAGTTTCCTCATGGTAAGTGCTCTAACACCTGGTGCTCAATCTTTCTTTTTCCTTTGAATTAGTAATAATTTATTTACAAAGACTTCAATGAAGATTGTGATTTGCTTGTCAATCCTAAATTTAAGATATTCAGATGTCCTGATTATTAAATCTTCGCATCCCTATTTCTACCAAAATGTATAATGAAAAGATCGTACCAAGGAAATATAGCTCCAGATTCATCAATGAATCTACTTATTTTAGCAGAACATAACTAATGCAAAAAACTAAAAGGAAAGCCCTTACATTGAATCAATTCTGCCCAGCTGAATCGGGATGCTAGGTCCACCACATAATGAAACAGCTTCTGCTCCAGCCAAAGCTATTATATCAGCCCACGAGACTGATAACAAAGCCATCAATAAGAAAGTTATGCTGATACAGAAATGATCGGTGAACTCACAGAAGTTTATTGACAAAGACAGTTTACCTGGTTGCACAACATCTATTTGACTCTTTGCTTTCTCCAGAATCTAAAGAACAATGCATGGACCGAGATGTTAGCTGCTTGAAGTCCATATGAGAGTTCATGAGTCTTTGCAAATGGAAGATAACATAAATCTAAAATGAGGATATCTTCAGATTGTTCACAAGGATGGCGAAAATAAAAGCAATGGTTAACACGTCAAGCGATAGAAGAGAAAAGCATAAAATATAATTACTTACCTTTACAGATTTCTTAAGGCCTTTGTTTTCAGGTCTGTCGAGTTCAAGAACTATAGAGCCATTCATACCCCCTAATAATGAAAATTGAGGTTGATATCATGCATCCCGGAATGGAAAATGAAAGTTTTCTTTCATGTATATATGCATACTAAATACTAAAGATTTTATTTGTGTGTATAAAGACTAAGAAGATGTATCCAGCGTTTTCAGGTGAACAATGTTAGTAGCATTTTGATCGGCATTAACGCTGTTATAACCCTTTAGACCAGCTCTGTATATTCTCAAAATAGGTGATATATTACAAAAAGCTTGCATTTGAAAGCTGCTAATGTTTGAACCAATGTTCTTGTTTCTTTTTTTTTTTTTTTTAGGTGTTGGATTGGGGGGGGGGGGGGGGAGTTAGGGAAGGGAAGGAATAATGTTTCAAAGAATCACCAATTTTGTCATCAATTTCAAAAGTTCCTGCATCATGGAATACAAGGCGAAGTACACCAGCAGCCTTGCCCTTGGATAAGACCTTCCTGATCTCCTCCCTAAAGCTTAAACTCTCCCTGCCAAAGAAATGTAAGATTCTTTATGGAATATAAAAGTGCGTTAATGTAGCTTAAAACAAATAACCTGAAACGAATAATCACACTGTCAAGCAAAGTTTGCTGAGATCTTAGTTATGAAATTAAAATGTGGAGAGGCTTGAAGTTACCAGAACGTCTAGGAACCTCTCTCTTATGAATTACTTTCTCTAGATAAAGGGTAGCCCGGTGCATATAGCATCCCGCGTTCACAGAGGGTCCGGAGAATGGCTGCACTTTCTCTAATCATCCTAAAATTACCAACTTGTCTCTGCTAAAATAAAAGCAGAAAAGGTGATCAAGCCTACTTGATATATGGCTGTTTTTTGAGTCCAAGCAGTAACTACCAATCTTCACATAGAGATGACTCTCCAAATGTTTCAAATTTCAACTTTTAACTAACAAACTACATGATTCAAGAACATTTGACGAAGCACCTTCCATGAGGAAATCATTGATCATCAGCTTTTGAATAAAATTCACTCCTAACAAAAATGGTTGATGCTGCTGGTTGAAGTTGGAGAAACTAGATTCAAATTAAGCAAGTAGAATCCTTCCTCTTCAAAATCAAAATCTTTCATATATCTTCGATAAACTTTTAATCTAAACGTGGTATAGAATCACTGGGATAGGAGCGTGCATGCTGAAACACAACTTGAGAGAACTGTCAAATTGAACTTGCAAATAGGAATTAGCCATAAATGAACTAATTAATAAATGCGGATTGCGCTCTAAACACTCCTGCTTATGAATAGAAACATGGTCTCAGCACCTCTAAGCACTAGGCTTATTTGCAAATTACTTAACTTTGCATATCAATTTTTTTGGAAAAGACCCCAATTTGCATCTCTGTAATTGGTTCAATTTACAAGAAAAGCAGTAAGCTCAAAAACTTTAAGAAAATTCAATAGTACAAATTTCTTAAAAAGGAATGCATTTTGAGACGTACTCAGCGGCAATGGCAGCAGAACTATTGTTAACTCTATCACACGGCATAACAAGTGACAAGGTAGCTAAAGATAGTAAAGCTCTCCTTCCACATATTAACGATTTGCAAACTACACTTTCATCTGCAATTCAGAAAAACAAAAAAAGACCCAACTCGAATTAAATGCAAAATCCTTCAGCGATGTTTCATAAATTGAAGGTTCAATGCTTACTTGAACCGTTGGTGGTGGCAGAAGCTCGAATTGGGTTGGCGCCAAAATGGGGCGTTGGAGCGAATTTAGCGGGAAAGTAGAAGTTGGAAGTGGAGGTGAAGTAGAAAGCGCCGGAACTGAGAACCCAACGGTCAACGGCGACGGTGTGACTCATCCTTAACCGTGCGTTTTTTGCGTTATCCAAACTCTTGAACTTTTTTTGACAGCAAAATTATCCTTTTGTCCTCTTTTTTTTTTTTTTTATGGAATTTTCTAATGATATAAAAGAGGAAACAAAGAAAAGAAGAAGAAATAGGAAAAATCCCTCCCTTTATACTGATAAAAAAATTTAAAAATAATATAAAGAATGCTAATTTACAACGATTTGCATATCAAATTGAATCATATACTGATACACAAAGTATAAAGACAAAATTAAATCATATGTGTATGGGTCCAAATTTGGCAACCACGATAGTTACCGAGTAGGACGAGGAACGAGGTTATCGTGACGCAACATCTGATGGTCGTCGTGATGAAGGACGATGACCAAGAGCGGTCAGTCGAGACGAGATATCAACGGTAGTTTAAACTTAATAGGAGACGGTAAGAATACGCTTTTCGAATATTCTTTATGTTGTACTTTTTAGGGTTTCTTGGGAGATTGTCCCATATAAATAGGAAGGGTTAGTAAAGAAGGGGGAGCCGGGCAAAAGAGACAAAGGAACACTTTGTAACAGATTCAACTGAGAGAATATACTAGAAAGGCCGTATTCATTGAATGCAAGAAATATATTTCATTGTTCTACATTAACAAGGTCCAAAGATTCCTCAATCATCTCATATCTCTTCTCTTTCTATTCTGTTACCGAGGAAAGAAGCATTCCTAGAGATCTCAATAATTGGGTAGCCATATTAGGGGCGTTCAAAACCGAACCGAAACCGAAAACGAACCGAAATCGAAGCTTAATGGCTTATTGATATGGGGTTAACGGTTTAACGGACAGGGAACAGATTGAAATTTTTTTTATTAACGGCTTATCAGTTTGGGGGCGGATTATTCAATTTTCTTAACGGATAATACCCGTTAAGAATATATATATACATATAAAATTTATTTTTATCCATATATATATATATATATATATATATATATTAAATAATCAAGAACCCTTATTCCTCTAGTACTCTATCAAAGTGAATTAGAATAAAAGAAAGCCAAATAAAAGGAGTCATCTAACTGTGACAAAAGCCAGAATTTGCTGCCTGAAACAAGATAACAACACCAGTTACACCACTGCTTCATCAACTTTGCCTGGGTTTTAAGGCATCATAGAATTCTAAGCATGACGAACATTTATTTTAACAACGGTTTCACATGGACTAAGGCCAACGTGCATAAACAAAAATAAGATTCTAGACAGATGATTTACCCATCACAGTGTCTCTTCTGCTTCGTCCCTCTTAGTACGTTGACCACCTATTTAAACATACAGAGACTAAATTTTATTTTATTTTGATTGAATTAGGCCGATAAACTGCCCGATAAGAGCTAAATCAATACCAATCCGCCCGATATCTTATCTGGTGGCTAGCGGATTATTACAATTAAAAGTCGATAATCGATAAGCCAAACCGTTAAGAGTAAATAACCGCCCAATCCGCCTGATAAGCATCCCTACTTCATATGATTACGCCTATTGCATTTACTTAAGTTGATTGCATATTTATGTTGCTGCATTTATGAACATTCAATCTACTCAAACATATTAATCAACGTCTTCCATTTTGTCTATTTTATCTATCATTTGATCTAAATTTATTATCCTTAACTAAGATTTACTCCTCTTCTCATCATTGATTGATTTAATCAAAAGGTTTAATACTTTTTTGGTCAAACAATTTGACGCCGTCTGTAGAGATTTCTTTAGTTAAGATTTTAGTTTCATCTAGATCATAAAAAGGGATATCCATCTCTTCCAATGGCAGGAAAAGGAGATGCAAGGTTAAAAGCAATATCAGGTGTTACAGCCAACCTCCTGAACACCATCAATGAAGACGGCAGGGAAGACAACAAAAACGTGACACCAAACGCTACACCTGGGAGAGACACTTCACCTCCCCCGCACGAAAGGGTAACTGCTTCGCGCGAAAAAGAAGCCTCCACGTCTACAACAGGAGAAGCATCACCGGCGGTTAAAAGACTACTGGAAAAGTAGCTAACAAACACTTTAAACAACATACTTGATAAACTCGCTCAAAGGGAGAATAGAGACATTGCACACATAGATGTCACAACATTTGTTAGTGAACAAGATGCCCCCGGCACAGATAACACTCATACTATTATTAACGCAGGTAATGACGCACTCGCAGCCATTCTAAAGAAAATGGAGGAAATGGAAAATGAGAATAAGGCACTCCGTGACCAGATGAAGGAGCATCAAGAAAGGGTCGACAAAATACCAGGCGCCCCAAAATTGTTACCAAAACGGGGCGTTGGTCGGTTCATTGAGCAACCATACAACGAGGAAGCAGCCCCCCACGCCATTTCAAAAACCTTCAAATTTCCACCATACCTGAAGATATATGACAGTACTATAGACCCGGAAGATCATATCATCCATTACGTCACAGCCGTAAAAGGAAACGATCTTTCGAAAAAACAAGTACCATCGATGCTACTGGAAAAAATTCGGCGAAACCCTAACAGGGGAGCCCTAACCTGGTACTCACAACTACCAACACGGTTAATAGCAACGTTCGAAGAAATGGTAGACAAGTTTGTCACCGCTCATGCAGGAGCTAAAAAGGCGGAAGCCAGGGTAAACGACATATTCGCCGTTAGGCAGACGCACGGCGAGGGACTGAGGGACTTCCTGGCCGGTTTAACAGGGTGAGAATGAGCTTGCCGAATGTGTCAGAGGGGATGGCGGTAGCAGCCTTCCAGAACGGGTTAAGCAGGAATGGGTCGAGAGTGACCAGAAAGCTGTTAAGCGGGCTCATGAAATACCCTCCCACCACTTGGGAAGAAATCCACAACGCCTATTGCCCCGAGGTAAGGGCCGACAAGGACGACCTCAATGGCCCGATCCAACGACTGACGCCAGTTCAAGCAGAAGCAAGGAAAGATCGTTGCAATGACGGCCGAAGGGATCAGTTGGGACCCCGTCTCGGCCGAGAAAGACATCAGCCCTACATCAAGACATCCATCCCACCTCCCCCGTGGCACACAGATGCCCCTCCTCGACATACCGCGTCATACCAAAACGAAAGAGGTATGCCTCCGCTCTTATCTGCTCACAATTTTTGTGTTTCTCCTTCATAAAATAGTGTAGGCACTAGAGAAGCTCGGCCTGAAGGTACAATGGCCGCAAAAGATGAAGTCCAACCCGAGCACCCGGAAATCGAACGTTCTTTGTGAATTCTACTAGGAAAGGGGTCATAAAACTGAGGATTGCATAGGTCTGCGGCAGGAGGTAGTGAGAATGCTAAATCAAGGACACCTAAAAGAACTGCTGAGTGACCGAGGACGAGCTAACTTTGCCCGCGGACGCGAACAACCCCAGGGACCTCCAAAACCGCTCTCTCCCGCTCGTACCATACAGATGATAATCGGCGGAGGCGATGACGTAGCAATCAACCATGTAAAGTTCACCACTACACACAAACTCAAACGGTCGATCACTCATGAACGGTATGATGACCTCGAAGATAATATCATCTTCGATAAGTCAGATACCGACGGTTTGTCTTTCCCTCACTACGATGCTCTTGTTATCATTTTACGTATTGCAGATACTGATGTAAAAAGAATAATGGTGGATGACGAAGAGTGTATTATCTATCCTCGAGTCCTCGTACAGATGAGACTCAAAAATAAGATAATACCGCGTTGCATAGCACTAACGGGTTTTAATAATGCAGTCGACCGAACATCTGGAGAGATACTGCCACCCGTTCTAGCTAGAGGAGTCACCCTGGAAACAATGTTTCACGTCATGGACCAAGATACAGCCTACAACGCTATCATAGGGCGCCCATAGATACACGCCATGCGAGCAGTCCCGTCAAGTCTCTATTAAGTAATTAAGTTTCCTACTCCATGGGGGGTATTCAGCATCCGGGGCGAATAATGTACTACACAAGAATGCTATCACATCGCCCAAGATTCCGCACACACCCAACAACTAAAAGGGGCGAGCGCGGAAGCATAGCAATCAGCGATGTTGGGAATCAAACTCGACGTACGGACAGACGTAATTCGACATCGTGGTAGCCTCCGAGTCAACCATAGAAGATATCGATCCCGTCCAGTTAGACGACAAAGACAGCACAAAAAAGGCTTACATAGGGCAAAATATCTCAGAACCAGGTAAGTTTCATAAATTCTTAACTAATAGTGCCGATTTGTTTGCCTTCTCCATTCAGATATGCCAGGCATCCCGAAAGACATCGCTACGCACAAATTGAATGTTGACCCCCTCTATCCGCTAGTGCGGCAAATGACGAGGAAGTTCAACGCCACAATCAACGAGGCCGTCAGCGAAGAAGTTGATAAGCTGCTCGTCAATGGCTCCGTCCGGAAGTCAAAATATCCCCATTGGGTGGCCAATGCGGTCATGGTGAAAAAGAAAAACGGGAAGTGAAGGATGTCTGTTGATTTCACGGACCTAAACAAGGCATGCCCAAAAGACTCCTTCCCATTGCCACACATCGACCAACTCATCGACGCAACAACAGGACACGAGTTTCTAAGCTTCTTGGATGCCTACTCGGGTTACAACCAAATCCTCGTGGAGGAAGAGGACCAAGAGAAAACTACTTTCATCACTCACCAAGGAACGTACTGTTACAGAGTCATGCCGTTCTAACTGAAAAATGCGGGGGCAACATACCAAAGGTTTGTCACCAAGATGTTCAAAGATCAACTTGGCAAAACAATGGAAGTCTACATCGATGACATGCTGGTTAAATCGAAAAGGAAAGAGGACTACATCGATCACCTAAAAGAAGCCTTCGACATTCTGAGGCGGTACGAAATGAAACTAAACCCCGAAAAATGCGCCTTCGGCGTAACCTCGGGCAAATTTCTCAGTTTCTTAGTATCACAAAGAGGTATCAAGGTCAATCAAGACCAGATCAAGGCCATCGAAGGAATACCCGAAATGTTAACTAGCAAAAAGTAGGTACAAAAATTGACAGGTCGGATAGCTGCCCTTTCAAGGTTCATCTCACGGTCATCGGATAGATGCCATAAATTTTTT